GTCACCGTATCCACTGTTAGCGTAACACACCCGCTTTAAGACACTGACTGCTATTCAATATATAACAGTGAAAAAAGTGGTTGGTTTTTTTTAAATACAAGCTTTGTGTCACCAGATCTAAGTGGTGGCACTGGTCACCGTATCCACTGTTAGCGTAACACACCCGCTTTAAGGACACTGACTGCTATTCAATCTATAACAGTGAAAAAAGTGGTGTTTTTTTAAATCCAAGCTATTGTGACACCAGATATAAGTGGTGGCACTGGTCACCGTATCCACTGTTAGCTTAACACACCCGCTTTTAGGACACTGACTGCTATTCAATCTATAACAGTGAAAAAAGTTTTTTGTTTTTAAATCCAAGCTTTGTGTCACCAGATCTAAGTGGTGGCACTGGTCACCGTATCCACTGTTAGCGTAACACACCCGCTTTAAGGACACTGACTGCTATTCAATCTATAACAGTGAAAAAAGTTTTTTGTTTTTAAATCCAAGCTTTGTGTCACCAGATCTAAGTGGTGGCAATGGTCACCGTATCCACTGTTAGCGTAACACACCCGCTTTAAGGACACTGACTGCTATTCAATCTATAACAGTGAAAAAAGTGTTTTTTGTTTTTAAATACAAGCTTTGTGTCACCAGATCTAAGTGGTGGCACTGGTCACCGTATCCACTGTTAGCGTAACACACCCGCTTTAAGGACACTGACTGAAAACAGTGTTTTTTTGTTTTTAAATCCAATTCAATCTATAACAGTGCTTTAAAACAGTGTGAAAAAAGTTTTTGTTTTTTTAAATCCAAGCTTTGTGTCACCAGATCTAAGTGGTGGCACTGCAATGGGCACAGTATGCACTGTGAGCCTGACACAGAAGCTGGCAGCAGTGGCAGACAACTGACTGCTATTCAATCTATAACAGTGAAAAAAGTGTTTTTTTTTAAATCCAAGCTTTGTGTCACCAGATCTAAGTGGTGGGCAATGGGCACAGTATGCACTGTGAGCCTGACACAGAAGCTGGCAGCAGTGGCAGACAACTGACTGCTATTCAATCTATAACAGTGAAAAAAGTTTTTTGTTTTTAAATCCAAGCTTTGTGTCACCAGATCTAAGTGGTGGACAATGGGCACAGTATGCACTGTGAGCCTGACACAGAAGCTGGCAGCAGTGGCAGACAACTGACTGCTATTTAATCTATAACAGTGAAAAAAGTTTTTTGTTTTTAAATCCAAGCTATTGTGACACCAGATGTAAGTGGTGGCACTGACTGGGGAAATGGGCACAGTATGCACTGTGAGCCTGACACAGAAGCTGGCAGCAGTGGCAGACAACTAAGTGCAATTACATTACATAGAAAAAATAAATAAAAAAAAAGCATACCCTTATCCCTAACCTAGCTATGCTTTTCCCTATCTTATGAACAGCAGCTACACTTTCCCTCCTCTTACTAAGCATGCAGCTTGAGAATGAATCTAAAATGGATGCCTTCCAGGAGGTGGGAGGGTCTGCTAGGGAGGGTGTGCTGCTAATTGGCTGGAATGTGTCTGCTGACTGTGAGGTACAGGGTCAAAGTTTACTCAATGATGACGAATAGGGGGCGGGTCGAACCGCGCATATGTTCGCCCGCCGTGGCGAACGCGAACATGCTATGTTCGCCAGGAACCGTTCGCCGGCGAACCGTTCGGTACATCACTACTCTCACATTGTTTCGCCTTGAATATATGTCTTCTTCTATACAGCAATCACTTTTAAACAATAACATGTTTCCCATTTACAGATATGGGATACCGTTCAGACCTTCAATTAAGAACATGTCCTAGTTAGGATCCCAACTGTCAGTTGTCATGTATTTTATGGACAATAAAGTTTTTTTCAATTGCAGATGATGCGGTGACGTACATCCCTTTTTTTTTCTTCATTTTCCCTTTTTTGGTTTTTCTTTTGTTCTTCAGATTTTTTACAATTTTCTAGCAATATTGTTTTCTCTTGGGTTTTTTTTCTTATTTTTTCTTATCTTCTCTATGGCCTAGCATCACCACAACAAGGTGGTGGATCCACCTATGATATCTCATACTCTAATGAAATACATATAATCAGTGATTAATAAATAAATTTTTCCTCACATACTCGTATATGAATTTTTTTATCTTATTGTGCATAGTGAATGCATTAAGTGCGGTATTGAGGGCACAGCAAGGGGAGGGAATGAGAGCTACATAAGGGCACAGGAGGAAAGGAGGGCTACATAAGGGGACAGGAGCTAAATAGGTCACAGGAGGGCAGGAGGCTACATAAGGGCACTGAGGGGATGGGGCTAAAGACAAGAGAAAAGCAGCTTTTACAAGATTTACTCTCAATAAAAAATACATCATTAAAAACATGCAAGTTTTCATTTGTGGTATAGCTACGAAACAATGAACTTTATTTATTTTGTACTTGGGCACTGGAGTGTCCGTTAAAGGGGTTAAAGAAAACCATATGTCCCCTTAGGATGGTGTATTGTTTATGTTAGGGCTAGAATAATCCATAATACAAATGTTCTGTGTACTGTCTCACTGTTTATCTTGTACTTAATAGCTAACACTCCCTCCATTTTTAAAGGACGAGAATACATCATACCATATGGACCAATGGATAGAATTTAATATATTAACTACACAGATGGGGGGAGCACAAAGAGACACACAGAGGTGCTGGTGGAAAAGGCACACAATGGGTCTGGAGGACACAGAGCAACACACATATGGTCTGGGGGACCCAAAGACACACAGAGGGGCTGAGGTGGGACAAATACACACGCAGAAGGGCTGAGGGGAGACAAAGACACACTGAGGAGCTCAGGGGAGACAAATACACACACAGACGGGCTGAGGGGAGACAAAGACACACAGAGGAGCTCAGGGGAGACAAAGACACACAGACGGGCTGAGGGCACAAATAGACACACAGAGGGGCTGAGGGCACAAAGAGACACATAGAAGGGCTGGTGGGACAAAGAGGAACATAGAAGTACTGGGGGAGCAAATTGACACAAAGAGGGCCTGGGGAAGGGGAAAAGGAGACACACAAATGAGTTGGGGGAGAAACAGATGCACAAAGAGCTGGATGAAGAAAGAAACACACAAAGGGGTTGGGGGCAGAAACAGACACCTGCTGGCAGAAGAAAAAGTCCTGACAGCCAGCCACAGCTGCCAGTGGCAGCCAGCCGTGTAGGCACAGCAGCCAACCTGCCTGCCGACCAGCCGCAGCAGCCTGCCAGCTGGCCACAGCAGCAAGTCTGGATCAGCCCTGGCGAGACACATAGTTTGAAGCTCTGCACATGGCAGAGCTGCAGACTGAATATCACAATCACAGGGAATGGATTTCTTTTTTTTTTTTTAAATGCATTACACTCACTGTCACCACTCACACATTCACTGTCACCCCCCCTACACAGACACAGACACCCCCCCTACACTCACATTGTCACCCCTTAAACCACACTGTCACCCTTATACACACACATACACTGTCTTACCCCTACACACACAGTTATACTCCCACATTCAACGCAACCCCCTCTACACACACACAGTCACCCCCTACACACACATTGTCACCGCTTACACACTCATTTTTTTAGTTGTATAATTTAGTAGTGGAAGTTATTAGAGCTCCCCCTCCCCCAGTTTTGACTGTGGTATCTTATGTGCCCCCCATATATTATTCCTAGAGTCGCCACTGATCACAGCATACACATATGTGTGTTTTATTGCAGAAAAAGCTAACCGTAATAAAATACCATGCAGAACTTGGAAAATACAATTTCTACATTTCTCACACATTAGGGCTTATTTTGGTTCAGAACTTGGACAATTGTCCCAGTACTTAAAGGAATACTTCAGACCCCTAAAGCACCTTTAACTTTCTGGAAAGAAAATTATGTATGAAGAGTGTGTCCTCTTTTTTCATTTTGCAACAAGTGCAGAGTTCAACAGAAATTGACAATTTTATAAAGTAACCTGCGCACACCCCCTGGCTTTCAAACAGACAACCGGGCATGTTACTTCCTGATTTGGTTAGCTCAGTGGAGCTAAACTCAAGAGACGGGAATTCCTCAGTGCACCTGCATTGCAAAGACTTTTCATTGAGTTGCATTGAGAAGTCTGTGATTGGACAGCTACAGAAAGTGTTTAGAAGGGGAGGGCTTGCAACACTGAAGACAAGAGAAAAGCAGCTTTTACAAGATTTACTCTCAATAAAAAATACATCATTAAAAACATGCATGTTTTCATTTGTGGTATAGCTACGAAACAATGAACTTTATTTATTTTGTACTTGGGCACTGGAGTGTCCGTTAAAGGGGTTAAAGAAAACCATATGTCCCCTTAGGATGGTGTAAACCATTTATGTTAGGGCTAGAATAATCCATAATACAAATGTTCTGTGTACTGTCTCACTGTTTATCTTGTACTTAATAGCTAACAATCCCTCCATTTTTAAAGGACGAGAATACATCATAATGTATGGACCAATGGATAGAATTTAATATATTAACTACATAAGTTATGCTGTGAAATAGGTTATCATAAGTATTTTGTGAGAGACCATTCCTTTAAATAAGCACATCACTTAATAAATACTCTTCGCTGTTCGGTTACTCTATTTCTTTAATTTTATGCCAGCTATGCTATAATTACAATTTTTTATTTGCAGCAGCAATTCATGTTTTAGGTTATGCATTATTTCAATCTGCAGTTAATCTAATTATCATTTCACACACTCTGCCTGAATGATTAAATATTAAGCCAGCTGCCCACGTCTGTTTTCACATTAACGAAAAGGGAGAGTAGATAGGTCACCAATAGGGCTGAACTGCAAGTCAGAATGCACTCTTTATCTAACATGCTTAT